AGGTTTATTTGGTTCATGATAGGTGGGAAGTCCAAACAGCATGGTGTTAGTGTCTTGTGAGGGCCCCTTGGCAGGTGGTATCATGGCAGGAGTGCCTATAAGAGAGCTCACATGGTGAGGGGTAAAGTAAGACAGAGAGGATCAGGCTTCTTGTGTTATGAGAATTGGCTCTCACAGGAAGTCATCCATTCCTGTAAGACCTAGCCCACTCCAGGAGACCAGCAATAATCCCCTCATGAGGGCAGTCATGATCCAGGCACCTCCCATCACATCCTGCCTCTTAAAAGTCCCACTTCCTTTCAACATTGTTATACTGGGGGTCAAGCTTGCAGCAAGTGCACCTCTGGGGGGCAACACACACTCCAGCCATGGCAGCAGATTGACTCAACGTGGGCTACCATGGAGGCCTGGTTTCGGCCAGCTACGGAAACAATTCAAACTGCTCCTAGCTGCTTGAGCCAGTCTGTTGAACGTAAAGCCTCTGGTATACGTTACCCATGTTGGTAAATACAGCTATGTATTGGCTAGAGTTCTTCCTACAGGTATTTTTATTTTTTTCCTCACATTTTTTACCCGTGTATTATGGTTGTACATATTGCTGGGGTTTGTTGTTACATATTCATACATGCGCACAATGTCATTTGGCCAGTGTCACTCCCCAGCCCTTTCCCCCTCCCTCCCTGACTCCCATCCTTGAACCTTTTCCTCTACTGATCTCCCCCCCTTTTTTTTTTTTTAAGGAAATTCGCCCCTACCTTTCTGTTCCTTTTTCCTCTCTAGCTTCCACAAGTGAAGAAAACATACAACCCTCCATCTTCTGAATTTTTGACTTTTTGCTTAACACAATCTCCAGTTCCATCCATTTCCCTGCAAGTGACATAATTTCATTTTTCTTTATGGCCGAATAAAATTCCATTGTGTATATTTCCATATTTTCTTGATCCATGTATCTATTGATGGATGTCTAAGCTAGTTCCATGGTTTGGCTACTACAAACACGGGTTTGCATGCATCACTATAATGGGATTACTTTAACTCTTCAGGATAGATACCGAGGAGCGGTATAAGTGGATCATATGGTGGTTTGATGTCTTCTACTTTGAGGAAGCTCCATGCTGATTTCCTTAGCGGTTGTACTAATTCACCATTCAACCAACAGTTGGGTGGTAAATTCTTTTTTCCTCCACATCCTCCCCAGCATTTACTATTTGTATTCTTGATGACTTCCATTCTGACTGGTGTAAGCTGAACTCTCGGTGCAGTTTTGATTTGCATTTTCCTAATTATTAATGATGTGAACATTTTTTTGTACATTTGTTGGCCATTTGTATTTCCTTTGAGAAGCATCTGTCTAATTCGTTTGCCCACATATTAATTTTTTTGGTGTGAAGATTTTTGAGTTCTTTATATATTCTAGACATTAATCCTCAGTCAGGAAAGTAGCTAGCAAAGGTTTTCTCCCACTCTGTGGGCTCTCTCTTCACATTCCTAATTGTTTCCTTTACAGAGCAAAAGCTTTTTAATTTGATTTATTAACTCATTTATTAACTCTGGCATTATTTCCTGAACTTTAGGGGTCCTATTGAGGAAGTCTTGCCTGTGCCTAAACAAGTGTTGAAGCTACATTTTCTTCAGGAAGTTGCATAGTTACTGGACTAATTCTGAGGTGTCTGATCCAGTTTGAGTTGATTTTTTTGTGCAGGGTGAGAGATAAAGGTCTAGTTTCATTCTTTTAAATATGCACAACCAGTTGTGCCAGCACCATTTGTTTAAAAGGCTGTTTTATCTCCAATATATATTTTGGGTACCTTTTTCAAGGATCAGATGACTGTAGATGTGTGGGTCTCTGCAGGTATTTTTAATGTAATAGCATTCTTCTAGGTGAGACTGTGTACCTCTGGGTCCTACTAGAATCTTGACTGTCAATAGGTTTGAAGAAAATGAGAGTGGTTCGAATACTGCGGAGATTTGGCTTCTGCTCCGTTGATTGGGTGAGTTCTGCTGAGGTTATTGAGAGCCTTAAACAAGGTCAGAGCAACCTGAACAGATAGGAGAACAGTGGTTGAAAGGACTGGCAAGTGAATTCCATTGAAGATAGAGATTACAAGTAGTCTTCATCTTCAATCTACAGGTCCCCACCCAATCAATCAAGGTTCTGTTTCCACATGGAGCACCGTGAGGCTGCAAATTAAATTAACACTGTAGTTTGCCAACTCATGGGATCAAGTATCTGTCTTTTGGACTTTTCAGCCCTTTAGCTGCAAAGAAGAAGCAATCCCTAACTGGGCACAGTGGCTCATGTCTGTAATCCCAGCAGCTCGGGAGGCTGAGGCAAGGGGATTGCAAGTTCAAAGTCAGTCTCAGCAACTAAGCGAGGCCCTAAGCAACCTACTGAGACCCTGTCTGTAAATAGAATGTATATTTTTAAAAAGGGCTGGGGCTGGGGCTCAATGGTGGGAAAACCCTGTGTTCAATCCCCAGTACCAAACCAAACCAAACCAAACCAAACCAAAAACAGCAATTGATGATGGGATTTAGGAATTAGGAATTTAGGAATTCAAGTTACTCTTTATTTATTTATACTAGTAGTTTTAATGGAGTAGTTTTTTTTTTTTATTCCACTAGGGGACTTTTAGCAATATCTGGAGACATTTTTAGTTGTCACAGCTGGAGAAGGGTATGTGTGTGTGTGTGTGTGTGTGTTACTTGCATCTGCTGGACAGAGGCCAGTGAGGTCGCTAAATGTCCTCTAATGCATAGGACTTCCATGGCAAAGAAGAATCCAGTGCAAAATGTCAATAGTTTTCAGCAGTTTACCCCAGGAAGAAGTGACCATCCCACTCCACAATGCCCTAACTGTGCTGATACCTCTCATAGTATCTTTTGACAAAAGAAACTATCAATGATAAGAAGCACATTACTTTATGAACTATAAGAAGGGGAGACCCCTGTCAAACAAGAGCTTCACCTTGAACCCCTCCCACCCCCTCAGCCACCAACAAGTACTGGAGATTGAACCCAGGGTACTTTACCACCGAACTAATTGTTTCTATTTTTTATTTTGAGACAGGGTCTGGTTAAATTGCTGAGGGTCTCACTAAGTTGCTGAGGCTGGCCTCAAACATGGGATCGTCCTGCCTCAGCTTCCTGAGTTGCTGGGATTATAGATGTGTGCCCCTGTGCCAAGCTTACATTGATTTTTTAACATGCATCCTGGTAAATGGGCCTTTCATTTGTCTGTGGCAGATATACTCAGTCCCACCAAGCCACTTCTTGGACTTCTCATGCATAAGATGCCTTAGGAAACTGGGTAGAGCCCTGTTACTTAGAATTGTGACTGCCTTGGGCCCCCCTAGGGGCTCCTGAGAAACTTCTGCCTCTCAGTAGCAAAGTGAGTGTGTGCCACCAGAGTTCCTCCTGGTCTGTGGTCTCTTCCCTCCCTAGCTGGCAATAGAGGACCCAACCGTGAGCTGCTGAGACATGCTTGTGCTTGTCCCTGGGGGGCTGGAGACGCAGGTATCTGGTGTTTTCAGCCTGAGAGAGGAGGCACTCTGCCGCCACCCAGTCTCGGGTGGGGAAGTGCCCAAGCAGAGGCAAATGGTACAGGTGCCGACTGGTTCCAGGGAGCAGCTCAGGTCCATGACCTCCCTTCCCACCAGGCCCTCCCTTCTGCTCACCCCAGATTCTCTCCTTCCTCTCACTTGGTGCATCAGCAAGCAGCCGATCTCCTCGAACAGTCACAGTCCCTCCTGTCTGGCTTGATCCATTTCCTCTGCAGGACCGCCGGAGAGCAGCTCTGCGCAAAGCCTGTGTCTCACCTGTGCACCTTCCTTGCCCTAACACCTTCCACGGCATCTTTACACAGAATAAAATCCAAAAATCCTTATTTGGACCTCTGAGCTTAGATTTCATTTTACCAAGGGGACAGTTTTTAAGAGCACCATCTTATACTCTCAGAAATGTCTGGTTTAGGGGCTGGGGTAGTGGCTCAGTGGCAGAGCACTTGCCTAGCATGCATGAGGCCCTGGCACCACATAAAATAAAAACAAATAAAATGAAGGTATTATGTCCATTTACAACTAGAAAAAAAATAAAATGTCTGGTTTAAGCTGGGGATGGAGGTGCACTCCCATAACCCCAGTAACTTGAGGTGGAGGCAGGAGGATCACAAGTTCAAGGCCAACTTTGGTAACTGAGCGAGTCCCTGTCTCAAAAATTTCAGAGGGGCTGGAGATGAAGCTCGGTGGTAAAGTGCCGCTGAGTTCACTCCCTAGCACTGCAAAAATTCAGACACGGGCCCTGCATTTGTGAGGTCCCCCTTGCCCCTCGCCTCTGAGCTGCGTGTGTGCACCCGTCCCCTTGGCCCCTTTCCCTCTATCAGAGACACTTGTCCTCCCACTTTCCACACAACATTCTCCTTGGATCCTTCAGGTCTTGGCTTAATAATGGTCACCTTAGGGCCCCCTTTCTTCGCCTGTCCACACCCCTTGTCTGTACTGGTCACATCCCTCCTGTAGTGACCAGAATCTGACTTTTTTGTTCTGCCTGCCTGTCACCTCCCTGTGGGTGTGGGTGCTTTCTCACCAACACAGGACCCATCAGATCACAGTACCCTCCATAAATATCTTATGAAATCAGCCAATAAAAGGCCTTCCTTCCCGACCCCCTTCCACTTGAGGTCAAGCCGCCATGATGGACACAGCCCACGACTCTGCACTCTTCTTCCTTGGCACAGGCCACAGCTGCATGGAAACGATCCTCTGTGTGACTCCCGTGGTCATCAGTTTCTCCTAGGTTGGGACTAACCTGGGATAGTTGCAACGGGGCCAGGGCAGTTCAGGAAGCATCAGTCTGGAATCTTCTGTGGGGCCTTGCGTTTGGTGCTGGGGGGCAGAGCTGTTGACCCGGGCCCAGGTGGGGAGGGCAGGACACCAGCTCAGCGTGCAGCCGCCCCGTCCCGCTGGCTTCCTTCTCTTCTGGGGAACTTCCTTTTACTTCCCCTGCTTCACTCTAATATGCCTGCTAGAAGTTTCTCGAATTCCAGAAAACTCTGGACTCATGACGGACCCAGCAAGGCAAATGGCAGGATAGGAGCAAGGCCGCTGAATCCCAGGGCAAAGGTAGAGGATGGCAGAGAGAAAAACCTCCCTCAGATCCCTGTCTTGATCTGTGTTATTTTGTCAGCAGCAGGTAAGGACGGCTCGACACCAGCAGCCCCGGCTACCACAGTAAAAACTAGCACAGTCTCAAGTGCGAAGCCCCAAACTTCAGGAACCATTTCAGACCCAGCGACATCCACCAAGTTGAACACGGCCGGCTCTTCGGCATCCACATCCCGAGGGGGGTCCTTGAACCCCACTCAGCCAAGCATCCCTGCGGTGACTACAGTCTCTATAATCACCAGTGTCACACACAGTACCACGCCTTCCTCTCCCACTTTAACCACCTCTGAAAAAACAACTCTCCAGAGCACGGACAAAGGAACAACTGCCCCTGGATACAGCAGTAGTGGCCACGTTCCCACAGCCACCCCGGCCACTCAGAGAACAGAGGTGCCGAGCCCTCTTCCTTCAGGGTCCACTACCACAGGAAACCCTCCTGTGGATTCACCTGGCAGCCCAGGCTCTCGCCATTCAACCGCTGCCACTGTGAAGACCCCAGAGAGCTCCACCAGTGGACAACACAGCCTTTCCTTGGTCCCCAGTGGTTCAAGCCCTGCGCCTGGCACTAGCGGCCCCACATCCAAGGTGTTGCCCACCACCCAAAGTAAGTAGGGCCTCGACTTGTTACTGTTTTTCAAGCAAAAAGAAACTTTTCTGTGCTTTTTTTCCTCTACACAGTTTCTCTCTGGGAGGGTCATGCTGAGACCTGAACACGAGGACACTCCTTCACTCAGAGCTGGTTTCCCATTTCTGAGGAGCAAGGCCAACATTTGAGGGTTTTGGCCTGCCCAGGGTAAACACGCCAACCGTCTACACACAGGCAAGACTGCGCTGTGGTGGTGGCAGCAGGGTGTTAGAATATTCTAGAATGGTGCTCCTCAGACTTGTTCGATGACAACCCATCATAAGAAACACACTTTAATACATCAGGGTCTAAAAAAAACACACATAGCCAGGTGTGGTGGCACACGCCTATAATCCCAGTGCCTTGGGAGGCTGAGGCCTGAGGATCTGAGTTCAAGGCCAGCCTCAGCAACAGTGAGACACTAAGAAGTTTTGTGAGACCCTGTCTCTAAATACAATACAAAAAAGGAGGCTTGTAGTTCAGTGGTAGAGTGCTTGTCTTGCACATGTGAGGCACCGGGTTCAAACCTCAGCACCACATAAAAAAATAAATAAAGCAAAGGTATTATGTTCACTTTACAACTAAAAAAATATTAAAAAAAACTTACAAAATAGGGCTGGGGGAGCTGGGGTTGTGGCTCAGTGGTAGAGCGCTTCCCTAGCACATGCAAGGCCCTGGGCTTGATCCACATAAAAATAGATAAATAAAATAAAGGTATTGTGCCCAACTACAACTAACAAATAAATATAATGAAGAAATAGGGCTGGGGGATGTGACTCAGTGGCCGAGTGCTCCCGAATTCAATCCCTGGTACCTGCTGCCCCAAAAATAATAAATAAAAAAACCACATATAATGCATATAAATGAAACAAATTTCACTATATAAGACTTTTTATATAAGCTGATATTTTCAATTCTGTTCCATTTCCTTTTCCTTTTATTAACTGATTTCTCAAGTGCTCATCTTAACCTAGTAAAATAATTTCAAAATCTAGTGATGGAGCTGGGTGAGCTATTTTGGGAAACTGAGGCAGGAGGATTGCAAATTTGAAGCTGGCCATAGCAACTTAGTGATACCCTCAACATCTTAGCAACACTCTGTCTCTAAATTAAAAAGGACTGGGGTTGTAGTTAAGTGGTAGCGTGCTTCTGGGTTCAATTCCCAGTAGCATAAAAATAAATAAATAAATAAACAAACAAATAATTAATAAATAAATAAATAAATAAATTGAGGCAGGAGAAAAATCTACAGATGGATCATGAGCCTCAAAATCCTGACCCATCTGGGATCTGCTGAATTGGAACTTCTGCTAGTAACTGAAGAATCTGGAGATCAGGCATTCCCAGGTAACATAGATACATCTTGAAACAGCCCATCACACTGGGCTAGGGTGGCCCTCTCCTATGGTGAGAGACTCTGAATTGGATAAATGCAGCTCCCTGCTGTGCCACCTGCTACCACATGACCTTGGGAAAATCATTGAGTCCTCCTGGACCTCTTTGACTTAGCTCTTAAACTAGCTTGTCCAGTGTGACTGTCCTGTCAAATAGTACAGGACACCACTTCATCCCCCTGCCTCTGCACACTGGAACCAGAAAAGACTGGACTTTTCTCTGCTCTTTTATTCTTCTAGCCTCTTCAGTCTCCACCATAGCACCCAAGAAGGAGCACCCACCATGCACCCCAGAAGGAACTCGGCAGACCTCCAGCCAGATGCCCCCCAAGCCCACCCCGTCTTCCTCCATGACATCTCCACTTGAGGGCTCTTCGTCCAGTCCTTGGTCAAGAACTGGGGCCACATCTACTGTTGGGGGAGACACCCACTCCAGCACTCGTTCGGCTTCAACTGCCCCCCAAGGCCTCAGCACAACCTCTTCCACCCTGGCTCCTGGGAAACCCAAGGTAATTCCAGCAAGGTGGGACAAAAAGAGAGCCCATGCTCCAAGAAAAGCTATTTCTATTTTTGCTCCAGCCAGGAGCAAAATGAGGAATACTGTCCATTTGCCCCATCTCCCCTAGTTTTTCCTAAGGCTTCCAAAGACATTCCTGACTTTAAACTGGCCCAGCCGTGCCCCTAGCTTGCCACGAACTGATTACTACCCACGGGATGGAGGAGAACAGGGTCCTTGGATCTTTGGGCCTGACCCTTCCTCTCATGGCTTCTTCCAGGTAGACTGCATGCCTTCTGAAAGGCTGGATAAGAAGCTGCTCATCCTGAACCTCACGGAAACCAGCCCCTGTGTGAGTACTGCTCATCAGCCCTCCACAGCCTGCAGGCTGTCAGGGGAAAGGAAGCAGAGGGGACCAAAGTGCTCCGTCTAGAACGGGCCAGGTGGTGTGTTCACCTAGGGATCTGCCCCTTGCCATCTTACAGAGCAACAAACTAAGGTTCAGACTTCTCTGAGGTCACACAGATAGGACTGCCACAGGCCAGAACAAGTTCCCAAGTCTCCTCCCTTTCACTGTGCTTACCCACAGTGGTCTGAGGGGCAGGAGGCCCCGATCCTGGTTGCCCTTGGCCTCTAGCTCTGGGTGTGACTTCAGACAGTTGGTCTGTTTGGAAATGGGAATTTAAGTCGGCCTCACTTCCCTTGTTCTCAAAGTGGCTTTGTTTCCTGGTCCAAGTGTTTTCTGAGAGCCTCAGTGGTGGCAAGCCATTAGGGAGAGTCTCCTTCTTCAAACCCAAGGAGTTGGGGGGTGGGCGGGAGATAAAAGGGTCCTGGTACAGAACATAAGGGAGCCCCTGCCTGTAGTTGTTCTATTCTGAGTGATGTGTGGACACTGTATGAGCGAGAGGGCGACCAAGGACTTGAGCTGGGGATGTTCTGTTGCTCAGTGAATAGCTATTGAGCCCCGTGAGTGCAGGTGGTGGCTGGCTCACTGCTGCCCTCTCCTGGCCAGTGCCTATTTTTGCACCCACTCTAGGAACTAGAACAGGATTTGGTTTCTACAGGTTGGAGAGCTTTTCTGCCATTGTGCTTTTTCCTTGGGCATCCATTTTGCTGGCTTTTCTAGGTAAACCTTACAGAAGTATACATTTGACCATCAGAGTTTTAACCTCCAGGGGTAGCTTATGGAGGTCTTGACGCAGGTCAGAGAAACATCAGCTAGGGGAGCCCTGATGACCTCCCTGCACTGTATTCCTCACCCCGAGCCCTGAAGCCCCGTTGCCACGTACTCTCTGCTTCTCCATGTTCTCTGCACACATTCAATGGCTCCTCGCCTTCCCCATCAGCCTGTTCACTGCCTCAGTCCGAGCCTCAGGGGGACACAGGTGCATCATTCTGGGACTAGACCACCTTGAGTCCAGAGCTGAGGTCTTCCACTCCTGCGGTCTTCAAAAGGGGCAGGAGAGGCTGGCAAATGACAAGTTCAGAGAGCACTGGAGCCCCTGCTGCCAGTGGTGGGGTGCTGTGCTGTGTTCCCCTGCCCCACAGTACAGGGCACTGATTCCCGAGTCTCAAAGAACATGGAGGAGATAGGCCCTGTTGCGCCCACAGTCTGAGGAGACTCGGGGCAGAGAAGCCAGGCGCTGAAGAATATAGACCGACTCTTGGCCGGACTTGGAATGCACTGGTGGAGTGTGGAGGGGCGCGGGTTAAGCAGGATGGCAGAGGGCAGCCCCACAAGCCTAGACTGTTGTCACACCCCTCTGCAATGCCTGTGTTCTCCTCACAACAGGCAAAGAGCCCTCCAGCGGATGACAAATTGATCACACAGCTGTGCCAAGCAGTCAAAGCCACCTTCAACCCGGCTCAGGATTCGTGTACAGTACAGCTGGCTCCCATTCAGGAAAGCCAGGCGGTGGCCCTCAAAAAAATCACTATTCAAAGTGAGTTGAAGGCAAGAGGGCCGAGGCCTGTGTGGGTGGGAACAGAATGGGAGGTGACGGTCCAGGAGCTGCTTGGAGTGTGGGTCAGGGTGGTGCCACTAGGAACTGTCAAGCCACGCATCCTCTCAGGGCCACCCAAGAGGCTAGGCCATGCAGAACACCCTTGTCTTGGGCTTCCTCTCCCTTGCCACCACATGGCTCTGGGGCAGCACCTCTCCTCTCTCCTACAGCAAATCTCCTTCCTGAGAATGTGTACGCCCTGCTGAAGGACAAGTGGGATGACCTAAGAGAGGTAGGTGGGCTGCTCCATATGCAGCCTCTCTCTCAAGTCCAGTGACCCCTCAGTATGGCAGGGCTGTTGCCCGTGCAAGCTTCTGCAGCAGATGGAAGAACTCTCCATCCCGGGGGGTTGGGGGAGCGGGGAGCGGAGACTGTTCTCTGCCACATGATGTCTCCTACCTGGCCAGGTGGGAGTCAGCCACATGCAGCTGGGGGATGAAGGACCGCCGGAGGAGGCTGAAGACCGCTTCAGCATGCCGCTCATCATCACCATCGTCTGCATGGCATCCTTCCTGCTCCTCGTTGCGGCCCTCTATGGCTGCTGCCACCAGCGACTCTCCCAGAGGAAGGATCAGGTGAGCACATCCCTCCTCTGACTAGGGAAGCAGTCCCGTCACCAGACGAGCTCTCGGCTTATCACTCCTGGAGTCCAGCAGGGGACAGTGAGTGGCCTTGGACCCTTCAGGCAGGCAGAGCACCGCCTAGGCAGCCGCCAGCTGCTGAGGAGGCACCATGGCCTGAGGCAAGAGCAGGACTTTTGAAGAAAAAGATTAGGTTGAAGCCCTGTTCTTGGTGTGACCTTGAGTCCATCATACAACCTCTTGGAGCTTCAGCTGTTCCCACACAGTAGAGACAGTTTCCATCTTGCAGAGCTGTTCTGGGGGTTGAAATAAATGGCCCTGTGTGTGCTGTCTCACCAAACTTCTCTCATCTGCTAAACTCTTTATCTTTCAGTTCCACCCAGATTTGTGGTCCCCCCCGCCCCCCACCCCGATTGCCCCTTGAAGGAGCTTTGGGAAAATTTTCATGCCTAGCTTCCTCATGCTCCACCTCAAACCCAATCTCTGGGTCAGTGTGTGTTCGGAGCTGCCCAGGTGATTCTAACATACAGTCAGCCAAATCTGAGAGAGAGCGGGTACGGGATTGTCCCATTGCTGCAGCAGGGATGCCCATGGTGACTGCCCTAACTGTCTTGTCCAGGCTTGGAGAGAGGTCCTTGGTCACCTGGCCTGAAGGGAGGTCATTTTCTCATAGTACTTACTGCTCAATCCACGACTATGGGGTAATGTGGGTGCTTGGAGAGGTTTTGAGGGAAAGTAATGGAGGAGAGACGAAAATACTTAGAAGGTCCTGGAGAACAAAGTCCATGTTCGCTGACATCAGCGATTCAGACTTGCCCACGGGATGAAGGTGAAACCATTGGGGAATTTTAGGGTGTGAGGCAGGCCTGTAGCCAGGGTGGCTTCCTGGACAGCCAGCACCTACATGTGAGCAGAGTGCTTGCTTTAGTCAAATTGGGTTCCCTGAGTTGAAAGAGGTAGCACATGTTAACACTATGTTAAGCCAGGCACCGTGTGCCACCTGTGATCCCATCTACGGGGGAGGCTGAGGCAGGATTGCAAGTTTGAGCTCGGCCTTGGCAACCAACTGAGACCTTGTCTCAAAATAAAATAAAAAGGAATGGGGAGTAACTCAGTGATAGAGTATTTGCTTAGCACGCTTGAAGTCTTGGGTTTGATCTCCAATATTGCAAAGGAAAAATTAAAAAAGAAAGAAAGAAAAACTTAAGGGTTATAACCCTCCAAAATTACTCTTTCTCCCTGGGTCATCTTCCCCACGCTAGCAACGACTCACAGAGGAGCTACAGACAGTGGAGAATGGTTACCATGACAACCCAACCTTGGAAGTGATGGAGACCTCCTCCGAGATGCAGGAGAAGAAGGTGGTGAACCTTAATGGGGAGCTGGGGGACAGCTGGATCGTCCCTCTGGACAACCTGACCAAGGATGACCTAGATGAGGAAGACACACATCTCTAACCGGGTCTGCTGGTGCCTCGACAGTGCCACAGGCTCCAGACTGACCACCTGAAGTGCCATTGGACAGAGGGGGAAAATTCCTCCGTTTGAGGAGGGAAAGACTGGGGGAGGAAGAGTGGACTTCAAGGGTTGCTACCTCCCAATCCCCACAGGGCCTTAATTTTTCCCTTTTCAAGCTGATCATATCCTGTTGTCTAGATCCCTCTTGTAAAGTAACCCACTAGTGCCTGAGCTCATCGCTGCTGGAGGATGAGAAGGGAGATGGATGAAGAGTCATGGAAAGGATCTCAGACTCTAGAACAAACCCCTCGTTTCCCAAGTGAGATAACTGAGGATTGAAGAGGGCAGGCGACTTGCACAAGGTCACAGTTACTTGGTGACAGATTCCTCCCTTCACTCCAGGGCTCATCTGTACCAAGCACACTTCTCTTCACTTGTGCCCTCTCTCCAGAGCAGCCCTGGGTAGGGGAACACTCCCGATAGTAGGGGGCTAGGGAGGCGAGCTGGCCTGTACCCTTTTCAGTGGCATCTGATTATAAGGACAGGTCCCGTGTTTCCATCTCTGACTCCAGCTTCACCTGCCAATACTCTTCTCCCTCCTCTCCTCTCACCCCTTTTCACTCAGTTTTCAGTCCCACTCTGCCCCAGGGCACCAGGGATCAGCACAGGTCATTTATCACCTTGAACCTCTTTTCCTGGATTCTGATTTCTTTGCATCCATTTAATGATGCAGAGGCCTCCCAGTGTGCTTGAGGCCCGCTCAAGGGAACAGTGGGCAGGTGAAGAGAGGAGCTCTTGGTCCCAGGGTTGCCTCCTCATGGCAGCTGATTCAGGGCTCAGAAATGACACTGGCCCATTACCCAAGCACCCCTTGAAAATGGACACTCTCCAAGATCTCCTTTGGCCTTCTACTCCCACCAGGGATTAAAATCTGCAGTAGCCACAGAAAGTAAGATGTTTCTTTTTGGTCACTGCTCAGCCAATGGATGAATACCGCAAGGCCCAGCCAGAAAGAGCAATAGTGGTAAGACAGATCTGTGCAGGCCTCCCACCCCCACCCTGATCAGCAGAGGTGTGCCTGAACAGACAATCAATTCATCAAACTGCTGGCAGACAGGTGATACTTGTTTCACAGGATACTCAGGGACTTTTCAAGTTGCTGAGAGTTTTGTATTTTTTTTAAATTCAGCACTCCACTGTCAAAGGCCAAAGCTTTAGCTACTGGAGACTCTTAGTTAGCTCACCTCATGGATTCTGATTCTCCAGAGAGAGAGAGAGAAAAGCCAGGACATGAGTGCACTCTAAGGTGCCTGAATTCCCACTCTTCTGGCATGGAGCTAGGCCTTGCTGTTTCCTCTCCCCTGTGTTGCTGGTGGGGCTACTCCAGTTCTGTTTCTGGTGGCATCTCAGGGAAACACAAAGCTATGTCTGTTCCACAGCACAGGGTTTTCTAGGCTCAGCAGTTGCTGTCTTGTAGAAGGCATCTGAGGATGGGGCGTACTGAGGCTTCATCTGGTTTTCTGAGAGGGGAACTCCTGCATGGAGTTTTTGAACTCTGGCCATGGCCTGTATGTTCCTGGGCATAAATTCCCTGGAACCAGCTATCTGCATTGGAACAGTTTATTTTAAACAGAATAGATGGGGAACAAAGGGGAAAGGTCTATCCTTTCCTAGCTCCCTGCATCCTGCTCTGAGGCCTGTAGTCATTAAATATCCTAGGGAACAGGGAAGTCCAGGTGATCATGGATTGTACCCAGGAAGTGTTCCAAGAGCTCGAGAGATGCTAGGTTACCAGTATCCAAATGCATCTGCTCTGCTCTTCTGTCACTAGTATTTGGAGGTGGGCAGGATGGGGAACAGTGCCAATTTGAGGAGAAAGAGAGGGAATGTTGGGACAATGGAGAGAGGTCTGTTTGCTTCCTTTCTTCCCAGGGTTCTGTCTGTCCAGTGGGTTTCTGTCATGGCCTGTGAGAGGCTAGAGTGGATTATTGCTCTTTTGCTGATTCTGGGTCACATTCACTGGCAAGGGCTTTTGACAGACAGCAAATATTGCTTCTGCAAATGATCAAAGGATGCAGCCCCAGGGCCTCTTAGAGATGACGACTGTGAAGACTAGAGAGCAGAAACCATGCCTGGTCAGGGGCAGTAAACACAGCTTTATCCAGGGAGAACCTGGGGAAGCATTGGGCTGACTGAGAGGTTCCTTCTTTTTGTGCATCCAAATTGTGCTTTTAGTGGCACTTTGGATCTGACACCTGGCGTTGGCTCGCTCTTGCTGCTAGGACCTCTATATCAACAGGCCATGCCACCAGCAAGTGTAAAACTCATCTTCCCACATGCCTGAGTCCGAGTGCTGTCTGATAATTCAGATTCTGGGACCAAGAAGAGATAATGACAACACCAGAGGCTTAGCAAGACTCTGAACCAGTTGTACCAAAGAGAATTTAAGAACTCCATTTCAGTGGCAAACCACTGTTTCCCCATGCTGCAAAAACCGTGAATCTGATAATTCCCCAAGTTACAAAAACCATAGATCTGAAGATTTTGATTGGATGAAACTCAGTGGGCAGCATGCTGCATTGTGAGTGGGAGAGTAGCACGTACAGACAAATCTGCACTGGAAGGCGGAGTCCGCGTTTAATCTAGCAGACACCAGGCACGCCCACTGCTTGGTAAGAAAAACTATCAGAAGATTTATTTAAACCATTTTTGAGCTTTACCTTTTTTTTTTTTTTTTTGACGACATACTGGAGAAACTTTGAAGAATAAGTTCAAACTGATATATAGATATACATATTTTTGACAGTGTAAATACAACAGCCATATTAATCTACCCTGCACTGCTTTTAAGTAAATACACTTTGAAAATAAATCCATTAGCTAAGGGAGATGGCGAGGCTTTTTTCTCTGAACAAGAATGTAAATGTCTATCTTACTAGAAATGGCAAGTTTTTGATTTCTTTTTTAACAACAACAAAAAGATTCAATAAGACAGGCTGGGGACAAAATATTTGTCTTGCAGATTGGGCATTTTCATTTTAAAATATGATCTCTTCTCCCACCAAGTGTCAGTCCCATCCCAGTAAGGGCTAGGGTCAGGTACACTAGATGAAGAGTGATACTCTGGTCACAGGGACAGAGATGTAGAGATCTCTTCCAGTCTTTTTCCACAGATAAACCTGAAGTCCACATAGGTAAAGTGACAGAAACAGGATTAAAGCCTGGATCCATTGATGGTCCCATGCTGTGTGCCTCCAAAGAAATCAGGGGACTAAGGACTGCCACTTGCAGGCAGGTTGACATAGACACGACACCATTTCTTCCCCCAAACTTCCCTAACAAGGCCAGAGATGCAGAGTGACAGCAGTTTTAACAGTCTAGTGATGTTCCTATTTTATGTCACTACATCATATAGGTCTAAGATGTAAATGAACAATTCTTTCTGCCAAGAAACCGTGTTATGTGAGCTCTCCCTTAGGAAACCTACTAGTAGATGAGGATCAAAGGGAACAAGTCAGGGAAGGCAGCGCAAGAGAAAACCAGAGACTACTTTTTGTCAATGTTGCGCTGATTCCCAACACCCAGGGAAAGCAGGGGATTACTATTTCATGGGGTTTTGTTTTTATTAGTGAATGTTAAAAATAATTTGCCCAGGAGACTGGGGGAGCATGTGTCTTAGTGGACAGGGGTCTGAAGTACACTGGAATTTACTGAGAAACTTGTTTGTAAAGACTATAGTTAATTATTGCATTTTCTTACAAAAATATATTTTGAGAAATTGTACACTGTCAATTAAAATGCTTTTCTGTAAGCTGGTTCAAGCTCTGGTATTTTGCTTGACTTAAATTCTTTAACTGAGCTGTCCCATCATAGAAAAAAACTCCCCTGCTCTTAGTGACACTGACCAGTGACACTGATCTATGTGGTGCAGGAGGGGAGTGGGATGAAGTAGGAAGGAAGGAGGGCATCCTAGAGGTGGCGAGTTCTCCACTCAACCTCAGGCCACCCTGTGGATCCTAAGAGGATGTCATTTTCTCTCAATTACTGTTGTTTCTCTCCCTCCCTGATGCTTATGCTTTGGGTTCAGCTGAATAACCACCAGGGAAGATCCCATGTGGGTTGCTGAGCCCTGATCAGGTATGAAAAACTGGCCAAGAGAAGAACACAAATATAAGTATAAAAAACAACCAACTCTGTTCGGGTCCTATTTCTGCCCCTTAGAGGATCTGCTTACTTGTCAGGAGAGACTTCTGTCTGATCTGCAGGTACACAGTGAAGGAGGAGGTTCAGGGAAGGCCTCAGATGATTCTGATTCTTTTCATCTCCAAGAGTGGTAGTGCTACAGCTGCACGTTAGCTCAGGGCTTCATCATTCCCAGTTTATAGAACATGGCAGATAGATTTGGTCCGTTTGCCTCCACCATTCAGTTTACAGAACATTTTAACGTAGTGTCTAGGGAGCTGGCACCACTTAAGGAAATGAAGTGCAGAGATTTACACAGCCATTTAAATGTTAGTCTTAGGCCTAGACTACATCTTTTCTCTCTTCAGGCCTATATTCTTAACAGCATTCACGCTTGACTTCCAACAGTTTGTTTCTAGAATGTAGTATCTGTTAACAGGATTTTCCTTTCATTTGGTAATTCTATAAGGTCACGCCACCCTGAAGGGGTGGGTCAGAGTTGGGCCTGGGTATTTTGAGGTTAACTTCACGAATGTGCCAAGGATACTGGAAGGAGTCCAAATGCCAGGACTTCCTGCAGGTCCCTGGCCCTGATCACGGGCACACTGATCTGAGTGACTCAGAGTTTATCAAAGGCCACAAATTCTTCTAAGACTCCATTCTTCCTGAATAGGGCACTGACCCTGCTCCCTGCCTACTAAGAGGTGCTCTCAGTTGGCATTTCAACGGTATGCCTCTTTTGCCATTTACAAACTCCCTGTTCTGTAAGTTCCCTCCCAAACCACTCACTTATGTCTTGCATACCCTCCCAGCCCCCACTGCTGGAGAAAAATAGATGAAGAATAGGTCTGGCTACTCTAAGTGAGAATACTTGTGATAAATACAGAGTATTTTTCAAAGACCTTGGCAATTTATGGATAAGCAAAAATCAATGGAACCCTAGCAAAGACCATCTGCTGCCAATATTTACTTAACCAAGTTGAGACTTCTAAGGCTACCTGGAGGTTGGTGGTGGATGTGGAGGTAAACAGGATTCCTGGCTCCTTGACTGCCCATCCTATTGGCCAAGTTCAGAGGGTAGTGCTACAAATACAGCCAAGTGTCCTCAGCTCCCATTTTGAGTTTTGCCGATCATCAAACTTCCCTAGCCAAGCCATTTTTTACCTCGTTCTCTCCCCCGTGTAAGGAAAATATTTCTGGCAAGGCCATTTATCTTACTCCCCTTGCTTTTCCTGGGTGAGAAACCTAGCAGGAAGGTCCACTGCAGACATCAGAAAAGCTTACATCAGCTTAACTCAAAGCACCCTGCTCTGCTGTCCTCTTCCCTGTGACAAAAAGCTCCACTCTTCCTTTTCTGCCTCAGACATGCAACAGGCAAAGGAAGGCGGGAGTTAAGTATGGGCATATAGGGCCCAAAACAGCAACTGCATGCTCACCGGACTGGTACAGCTGACACCTCAATGGTGTTCAGCACCAAGTCTTTGCTCACTGCTGTTTTCCCACTAGAAGATAGTGACAGATGTCAGGGGTGGTGTCCTACAGTTTGACCCCTTTGTGTTAATTCTTTGGAGAATTAACCAAGGAAAGGTCAATTCCTTACCTTATCACAGCAGCTCATGTTTTCCTGTTTTTAGAACACAAAGAAATGTGACTTCTGAGCCACACTTAAAGCACACCCTAGAAATGAAAGCTATGCAGTAAGATATGGCTTGATTTGTAAGTTGAGAAAACATAATCCCCATGGAGTGAATAGCTGACAACTCCAAAATGTAGGACCACAGAGCCAGACAGGAGATGTCAAAGGCTGAGACCTCTCTGTTATTCTGAGGCCATACGGAGAGCTCACACAACTCAACCCAGACAACCTAGGGCCTTTATTTGGCATATTTCTGAGTTAATTTTTTCAAATTCAGCAACACTTGCAGGTTCTCTCTCTTTACTATTTTTTTCTACAATTTTCTGTTTCAGTCCAGTTTTTTCTCTTAGTTCCTAATTGGTATAAGCATGATCCCTTAAGACTTGGGAAACAAGTCCAAATTCACAAAACAGACATACACAGAAAAATGTTTGTGGTTAAAACAAGAAGAAGAAATGAAGACAGGTGTGGCACATGCCTGTAATCCCAGCCGTAGGGCAGGCTGAGACAGGAGGACTGCCAAAGCCAGTCTCAACAAAAGCAAGGCGCTAAGCAACTCAGTGACAGCCTTTCTCTAAAATTAGGACTGGGGATATGGCTCAGTGGTTGAGTGTCCCTGAGTTCAATCCCCAGTACCAAAACAAAACAAAACAAAACAAAAAACAAACAAAAAAAACCAAATAAATAGACAAACAAACAAACAAATAATTTGCTAGATCCTTTACTTTATTGCTGCTGGTGTGCTTCACCATGAGCTATCTCACCAGCTCTTGTCACCAAAATCAGGGGTATATACCACACTCTGCTCCACCAGTTTTTTTGGTGCCAAAGATTGAACCCAGAGGTGCTTAATTACTGAGTCACATCCTGAGCCTTTTTAAAATTTTATTTTGAGTATGAATTGTCAAGATCATTGTATGGTCATGTGTAACTAATACAATTTTTTTTTTAAATTTTATTTTGAGATTGGGTCTAAGTTGCTTAGAGCCTTGCTAAATTGCTGAGGCTGGATTTGAACTTGCGATCCTTCTGTCTTAGCCTCCCAAGTTGCTGAGATTTCAGGTGTGCACTATGGTGTCCGACTTCATCAGAGTTTGTTTGTTTTTTAAATGGAAACATCTCCCAGAAACTCTGTGAGCTCAGCCAATATTTTTTTGTTTGAGCAGTCTCTAAGGACAAACATCCAAAGGCCCTTCTACACTGTATCATTTTCCATTTCTGGAAAACTGAATAAAGCACCTTTTAAAAGTTGACTTCAAAGTAATTTTGGCAAACATAAGACATCTTGTGGTGTCCATATATAACTTTTTATTAAGAAAATGAACAAAATACATTCTTTCTCCATATGTACATTACATACAACATAATTCTACAATTGCAGTTGTTCAGCAGATCACTCATATTTACTCACATAGTGGTAACATATGTACCAAACCTGGGATTAGAAAATTACCTGTACTTAAAAAAAAAAAATCCCAAAATATCCACATGAATTGGATAAAAGGCAAACCAGAAAGGATCACAAAACGGATAGGGAAGACCACAGAATATAATATAACCCAACAATGTTTAAACAATTGATGTTAGAAGAGATCTGATACCCAAAAAAGCACTCTTTAAATTCTCCAAATAGCTCTTGCCAGCCTTCCATCTGATTCAGGTACTTGAGGATACAGTCTAACCCCATAAGAGAGGGTTAAAGGAAAGAGGAGAACCCAACAAGGTGTTTTCTCATACAATCTCATCTGAAATATTATGGAGGTGAAAAACTTGTTAATCTTAGCTGATGTTTAGAGAAATATGTTCATTTTGTCTATTTTGTTTTGCTCTGCAAAAAAGTAACTCTACCTTTTTGAGTGTGTGTTGAATTTTGGCCATGTAATGAAGTGTATCACAAACACAAGGCTCCTCATAATCTGAACAGATTCCATATATCTAAAGAGCATAAAAATTCAAATGAGTCTTGGGGTGAAATTTCCAATGACCTGAACTTTTCAGGCTTAAAGATACTTATCAACATCATTATTTTCAGACTGTCCAGAAGATAATGCTTAAGGAAGGTAAGTAAAGGTGGGATATATCTTGCTGTCTGGGCCTTCCTACATGCAGGTGGTAGAAAACTCTGTTAACTTTTTTTTTTTTTTTAATTTTTTCAGGACGTTGCCATTTTTCATAATGAAAAAAGTCAGAAAAGAAAGTGGAGAGGCCTCACCAATTAACAAGGGGTTTCCTTCTTTACAAATAGCAGTTTTCTATGATAAGCATATTTTTATAATCACAAAATCAATTCATGTTTTTAAAATGACATAAATGGCATTTAACACAGTCCAACTGTCAAATGAGCTGCTTGCTATCATAGCATGTTTCCCTGAAGGATGAGATTCCCCTGGTGATGGTGGAGCTTCATCTTCTCAATCTAATTTCCAGTCCAACTTTGGGTTTGAAGATCTCTTTCTGTCTGAAGGGATCTTAGTTTCTGGCCACTAAGTACTTCTAGTTCATAAATGAGCTGACTTTAAAAAAATTTCTAACATCTTTACCAAGCTGTTTATAAATATGTCATTTGGAAAGATGGAATACTGTATGTTCCCAAGACTAAGACAAAGAGGTTTTCTGTCATATTATTTTGAGGTTGAAGACTCCACTTTACATAGATTTTGAAGTGATGGTAAGGGAAGGAATCTTTAAAAAGAAACACACAGCACCACATAAAAATAAATAAATAAAATAAAGTATTGCTTCCATCTATAACTAAAAAAACAATAAAAAAGATAATTCATACTTCCTAATCTAATTTAATTTCAAAAGACATTTCACACAAGTCACAAAAGTAGGCTAGCTTAAAGAATAATACAATCAAAAGTATCTCTTGTTCAGGCTAAATGTAATGGGTAAGAAAGGTAATCCACTTTTATTTTTCTAAATAGGAGCTTTATAATTAAGGAAGAAAATCACTTATAACTGGTTACTCACAAATCATTTTTTCTGGGAAAGGAAAAAAAATCTGAAAATTAAGTACATGACTTAAAAAAAAAAGTCTTCCCCTATAGAAGACTTCTCCTCATATTTAATCTCATATTTTAGACCTTGATATCTTATCAAATTGGGGGTTGGGCTGACAATTACTTTCCTATGCCTTACAACTTTGCAGTTAGTGCTTTTATGAGCATAGCTAATGTGTATGTAAAACAGCAAAGATTTTACAAAGGTAAAAGTACCGTGGGATCTCATAAGGATGCAATTCAAAAATATAAAGCCACCCATCTATGTCCTCAATGGTCAGAAGGGAAACTAGAAATCCTCTGATTGAAATCTGATAGAAATCCTGGGTTGATCCCATGCACCACAAACAAATAATCAAAGGTAAATACGGCAATTACAATGCGACATGTTAAAGAGTCATTCGCAAATATATGCTTATAGTTTAAGATCCACTCTTTTGATTCAACTGAATTTGTAAAATTATGCCAGTTGCAAGGGAGTTGGGGCTTATTCTAGCTACCTAATCAATCACTTTACAAATGTGGAGAAGACCTAAAGAAAAAAACCAAAATTATCAAATACCTGTAATATCCAGGACTCATGTATTTCTTGGCAAAGCAGAACTGAGACCCCTAGGATTATATATATGATGAATTCATTTTTAAAGCATGAAACTAATGTCATGTCAATACTGTATGGGTTGTAAGTTATACATGAGATAACAATTTTCTTCCTATTTTAAAAGCCTACGAAATGAATACCAACCTAATGACACTTGCTAACTGTAAGAAAGATTTTCTTGAGATATGCTAATAAAGGAAAGAAATAAAGCTCAAAATTGGCTACTTGAGCAACTTCTTAATCACACACACAGAACTGTTCTATATATCTGTATATTTCTCCTTCTGCCAATTAATCTGGCTTTCATGACTGAAAGTGAAGAAGGGTATCTCCTCAAGCTGGTATTTGTGTGGCAGTCACAATTCACTGCTCAGAATTCTGAATTCACTGCTGGGAATGCCAGCATCCCAGATGGTCCAGAACCATGTTTCAGCAAGTGCTTAAACTAGATGAAGAAGCAAGTCCTTTGGGAGCTCAACAACTGCATGTTAAAATATTTTACTGCTAGTTTTTCCTCTGGATACCTATCAAGAAATTGTTTACACTAGGGTTTCTGTTTTATCTTAAGATCTCCAACAACTACTTGAGAAGAGGTGAACAGTAACTAACAAAGACATGTTATTTTCCAAAGACTAGTAACAATAACTGAATATTCTAGACACATAAGCTTTGATTACTTTTGATTCTTTTCCATAGTACTACATTATGAAAATTATTCACAGTTAAAAACGAAGAGTTTTCTGCTTTATTTAAATTCAAAACTTCAAACTCATGAAGTTACTACTATCTTTTCTAATATAGCCTCACCTCTTCAACTGTTTCTGAAGTTCAATACTTCAAAGTCAAAATGTTTTAGTCAAAATAGGGCATCACACACACTTCATGCTGTTTCAACAGGAGATGAAAAGGAACACACATGATCTCATAATTGTGATTTCTTACAACTGGTTACCTTCCCTACCAAACACTCTCCTCTTTCACCACCATGTTTCCTTGACACTCTAGTTCTCAGATAACATCCACATAAAATTCTAGTTTTAAGCAAGTTTAACAGTGTTAGGGGGACATGATTGTATTAATAGAATTTCTAAATGATGACTTTAATTAGAAGATCAACCAGAATCATCCTGTTTTTTTTTTGTGTGTGTTAAGTAGTGACCTGGGATACAATTCAAGATGCTGAAGGGTCTTCTCTCATTTACTCTATCCTCTAATGACTCCTTAGGTTAAGGTCTATACAAGTTACTATAAGATGATTTCATCACTGGCTGTATGAGAAGGAAATTTGTCATTTGGAACTGGATCTAAATTCACATTCTTGAGGGGAAGAAATGTTATGTGGCCATGTTATTTTTATTTGGGGGGGGAAAAAAAGAGAATATCCATCATTTTCATGGCAGTTAAAGCTATTTCTAATATTCAACTATATCAGGAGTCAAATGCCAGTTCTTAACCCAAATTCCAACTTCAACAGAAAATCAAAACTACTTAAGTGAAATGGGAACGGAGATAAAAAGGACAGAAATAAAATAAAAAGAAACTAGGCAAATGAAAATTCTGATGGCATGCCAAATTCCACGTGTTCTCTTATAAAATTTAAACTCTACCAATAGCTCCTCCATAAGAGCTGCCCTGCAAAGCCACCATTACTATTCCCCAATGAAAATGACACGTACATGTTTATAGCAATATCAAAATGTTATTTCTTTAATAATATACATTTTAAAATTTCACTACTCTCTTGTCATAAGCAAGGATAACAGAACATATCTGCCTCAAAATGATGTTGACCTGTTTTTTCCAAGCACTACAATTGTCCTAAGCAATGCATGGATATCAAGGAAGTCCAGGGCTACAAAAGTTAATAAAAGTTAAATTAGCTTAGAAAAAATAAATGGAAACACAATTCACAGTATTTGGTGAGTAGGAAAAATTGAAGGTTAAAAAAATCAGGAATAAATAAAAACTCTGAAATAGGTCTGAGAAAAACAAAAAGAGCATTTGGTGAAGAAATCAACAGACTGTAATAATAAGTCCCCCACTTTGTGACTTTGGCAATGTCATTCAGCTGAGCTAACTGGCTCCATGTTACTTCAACCAACTTGGAAACTATGACCCTTAAATGATATATTGCTAGACCACAAGGTTTGGATAGCCAATCAGCATTAAGACAAATCATACAGAGATATAAGCCACAGTCAAACCCACAAAATAATAATGTTATTTCTCTAATATGGAAAACAAAAATCTTTGTATTATTAAAGAGCCCAAAGATAATCTAACAGTATTGATATATGCCGACCTCCATGATACTCCTCCCACTATAGACTTTTTTGGGGGAACCTCACATCCTAGACCACCTCCTAATTTCAACTTGGTGGAAATTTAGCCAGAAATTTTGGCAAAGGGGATGAGACTGTGGATCAACAAGGATTATTAAGAAGCATTAGAGAGTACATATTTTATAGCTGTATGACTTACAGTACACATTGTAATGATCTCCTCCCAGAGAAATCACTTCAAACCATAATCCTCAACTGTTATGCACCATTCAGCCAAGGATTTCACACAACTTTCACTCAGGGAAAAATCAAATGACTCACCAATACCAAAGAATTTCACGTAGTGTTAAGAATAATTACAGATTAACATCTTTGTGTAATTACCACGAAATTAAAACTCAGGAAACAAAATTAGGAAAATACTTGTGCTTTTTGACCTATTAAGCATCATTCTTAATCTCTCACAAAATGATCAAAAGTCTCAAACTGGTTTTCATTTGTTAGTTAGATTTTAAAATCTTGTTTTATTAAACAAAACTCTGTTAATGTGTATATCTACACAGCACTTTCTTTTTTTGGCATTACTGATTCCAGGAAGCATTTTACTACTAAGTTATATCCCCAATACGTTTTTTGTTTTTTGTTTTTGTTTGGACACAGGATCTCCCTAAGTTGCCCAGACTGGCTTCCTCAAAGTAACTGAGACTGAAGAGTATGACAACACTCTTAAGGCAGATGTGAAGAGATCTACTGGAATAACAAATTGCCAGCCACTTATAAACGATATACATATTTCACTCACAAATGCAGCTTTTCAAGCTTACAGAATTACTGAGCCCTACATCCGACAAGATTTTCTGACAAACCAGTGACTTCACTTTTTAATGTTTTCTTTCAGATTTTACTTATTAGACATGGACAGTCACAACTAAAAAGATACCTTTGATAAAGGTTAACATTGTCAACTGCAGCACAGAGGTAGGCACCCAATTATGAATTCCTTTGCTTGAATGAGAGTGATGTGCTCCGAATTAATCAAGCTGTCCATGTGAGGTCTCTGTTATTTCACAAAACAAAATGCATTTGAGAAGTGACTTGCAAATCAAATCATTTCTCACAAAATACAAGCACTAAAAATGATATTAGAGATCTAGTTTATTTTTGGTTGAATATAATATATTCCACTGGGGAAAAGAGAATTGGGAATGAGGATAAAATTAAGCAAATTGTACCCTACCAATTAATGTGTCTAAAGCATCAGCCAGGTGTTTGAATTTGGTACTAAGCTAGAGTGAAAGAATTTTTAAGTAATAGAGCATACATATTTGGCCAGCTAAATATAATATAATGTTGGAATTTTGAGAAATGTACGTCGGTCCTCACTGAACATGTTCCAAACGAGGGTTCTGATATGCAATGGGGTGAATGATGTATCGATCTTGAACGTGGATATTCAAAGCCCTATGTTCTCTGCAGTCAATCCTGGCAGTGCTCCATTAAATTTCCAAGGGACAGATCCTAACTTATCTAGTTAGTTCTCTCCTCAGTAAGTCTATCTCACTTAGGCAACACAAAATATTTCACTATGATTCAACAACATTTAAACATGTAACAACAACAAAAAAGGGGGAGGGATTTTCACCTAAATATAAGAAAACATGAAATTAAAATAGGTATATATTAAAAAAAAACTAGAGAAATGTAATTAGGAAAAAAAAAGACAAAAATCACTGCAATTAAGAACTAAACTTTCTCCAAATAATATGGAGACTGAGGAATTGATGAAAAAAAAAAATGATAAAAAAGGCACTGTTAAAACAAATGGTGGAGGGCAGCAAAATTTCATTTGGTAAATGTTTTAAAGTGCCAGAATTCATGCTAACCAAACTAGAGATTTTAAATTTTGGCAGTCTTATCAAGTCCAAGTTCTTTTCTGTTAATCTTCTAATTTGCATCTATTTCCACAAAATCAAATTCAATGTGCTATAATATTAGTGATATTAATATTTTATGTTCAGACTGTCACTTGGAATTACTTTATGAAACTGTACAAGTCTAACTAGAATAAATTTACTTGATTGTACAGTCAATGAATTATTGTGTATCTACATAATTTGGCATTTGCTGAATTACACAGTATACTTTTCACAAGATAAAGGTACAGACCTAAATGTTTAATAAATCACTATTATTTTTTGGGACACTTGAAAATCATAAAGTCCATGATTCAAGGATAAAACTAGCAAAAATATACTTCTGCTCATCCCCAAAATAAGGAAAACCAAGTAATAAAGAGAGTGAAAAGATATCTCAAAATCTCATTCCTATACATGATACTGTTTGAAAGTGCAGGTCAATTTCTTCCTTTTCTAGTGAGACCTCATCTTTCTACTCAGGGAGGTAATTCTACAAAGTCTTCCACTCTTTTAACAGCTGAGATGAACATTATATTGAGTCTGCTTTCAGCATGGTATCAGTTGCATGAGGCACACTTTTTGAGCAAATGTGAGCCCTAGCTATATGTAGGTTTCTCATATTACATTCCACAACTTCTTATGGGAAGATATATACCCATTCCTTCACAAAAGTGGAACTATGGAACACCTCACCTATTATGATTTTGTTTCTGTTTAATTTGTACCATTATTTTCCTTTTCTCCACTTAAAAAAGCCTGATCCATGTGCTTAATAAAATGCTTATTAGCTGTATACTAATGAATAAGCAAAAATTATTACTCTTCAAAATACCAGTGTTTAGAAGTAGATGCAGGGAGATGCATGGAAAAAAAATGCAAGTGCAGCTCTGGAAGCCTGCACCCCCAAAGGGAACTACTACATACAGACAGCACAAAGGAGAAAAGAGAGCCCTGGTTCTACATAGCTCTATCAGAGAAAAGAGCCATTTTCTTTTAAAATTGCTAAAAAGATAGAATAAACATATTAATTACTCACTGGATCTCTCTTGGTGGTCATTTTTAGAATGGCTCTTAACATTTTTCAATTATAATCTTCTGTTTCAGGTTTCTGTGACTTAAAGCCAAATGCTACTATAATATCTACTATAAAATATATCATTATAGAAACATTATATACCAATCTCTGATAGGATACCTGGGTCAATCTTGAGTTTCTATGGCAAGAAGTGCAAACTGGAGCTCTCTATCCTGTCTACTGTTTAATGTAATACTAGACAAGTCAACATATTCACATGTCACCTTAACGTACATCAACTGTTCTACAGAACTATATACCTGTTAAGGTCAACTAGTGACACCACTTACACGCAGTTGCACTATGTGAGGTAAAGTGAAAGAAGAGAAAGAAGAAATAAAGACCAAATAATCCAACAACAAAACCCAAAATTCTTGTAGTACTCAATCTGTTAGTAATGCTGATCTCCCAATTAAAAAAAAAAAAAAAGAAAAATCTGAAAAGGGTAAACTGCCTATTTTTTTAAATATTCATTAATTCTTAAAAGTTAAAGAAAAATATGTATATTTAAATGGAAAGTATACCAATTTCACTTTATTAGCCTAATTTAGAAATAAGATGAGGAGAATAGGGTTGAGGTCAAGTATGAAGGAAGAGGGTTAAAACTTTTGATGGTAAAGATCCCTTTCAAACTCCAGCACAGTCCTTAATCACTGCAGCTTCACCTCAGTCAACAGAGTTGCACTCCAAAACGCTGAAAGCAGACTCTCGTTTTCTGTTTCTGTGCTTGGGGACTCTTCAGTTACAGTGTGATGAGGTCTACCAGGTTGCCTTTAGGAGGAGTCATGCTGTCAGGAAAGAAATTTACTAAGGTGTCAAAGAGCTGAGTTCTTTGAGCATAGGTGTGATCCACATCCGAAAAGCCTGGTGAAGAAGAGATAACAAATTCATCCACTGTGTTTAAAACTCTAATGGAAAAGTTAGCTGAGACCAGCAGCAAAGTATACTGGAAAATGCAAAATCAAATCAGGCTTTAAAATCACAGAGACACTACTAAATGTGGTCTTAGTTCTGCTACCTGGCAGTGGTGTGGCAGTACCAGCCTCTCTCTGGCTTTTAGCACTTCTGTTTCCTCAGGTGTGAATCTGTGATAATCCTGATCACTTCATGAGATTATTAGGCAGATTAAATGCAATTCCCATGAAAAGCACCTAGCATAAAGACTGGCACTTTGGTAATTAAATAATATTGATTTCTCTTCCTTGCAAGATTTTTCCTCTGCTGGTCCACTGAGGAAATTCCACTCTTCTTTTCTGACTTTTTAATGCTTTTGATACATTAAATTTTTTACAATAAAATCACAATGAAAGGGATCTTTAGAAAGTGGTCTAAAATCACTAAGATGTTGAGAGCTGGGAGAACTATCAGAGAATTGAGTAAAAATGTAGACAACTGAGGGATTTTGATTTTTAATCTTGTCAAGAATATATGTGTAACAGTCAGAATGGTACCTAGCATACAGCACATGCCATACGTTGTGGTACTACATACCAGGCTCTACACTAAGCACATATTACAAGAATGATGAAGGCGTTTTCCACATAAATTTAGAAAGTGAACAATAATCTTAAAAGGTAAAAATGGTTAATCTAAAGGATCTCCCCCACTCTTAACCTCTAGTAGACATTTAATTTTCAAATTCACATCAACTAATGCAATATCCAGTTGGATGCCTCCTCCTTTTAGTCAGATGGTATACTGATCTCAGCTGCTTCAGATTTCTTACACACCAAAGAGGTATTTAAATAATAAAATAAACAATCTTTTCATTCTTAAAATGGCTGAAACATGTGAGCCTTGTTGAGTGTCATCAGAAACAAAACTAGAGCCATATAGAGTTATATATGCTATGATGGTTCCATGGAGACTGTTTCAAATCAGACTAATTTCCATTTAACTTAGAATAATTTTAGGTTTGATCTGTTTTAGTCTTGTCAAGAACAGGAATAGAACATAACTTTGTCAAGGATACCAATTTCCTGGAAGGAAATAAACAATGCCTTAAGAATGGTACATTTCTTTTTATTTAAAAAAATTAAAAATTATTATTTTTTTTAAGTTTGAAGGGAAAATGTTTCCTTTTCTGAGCTGAACTTAAGCTGTAACAATGCCTACTAGGATATCATAGGAATGTATAGAAGGAAATACTCCAAAATATTAGCATAGCTTATACCTGGTAAGATTATCATCTTTTTTCCCCTATGTTATGCTCTTCTGAATTTTCCAAATTGCTTTATTTTCGATTTTTTATTTGAAAAATTTCAAACTAACAGGAAAGTTTCAAGAAGAGTACAGTGAACACTCATATATATCCTTCACTTAAATCACAGTTGTTTTTGCCAAATATGTTCTTACTGTATGTATATATATACCCCACTCAATCTTTCTGTGGAACTACTTGGTAATAAATGTTATACATCTTTATTTTCTTGAGCTCATTTCAGCTAGGAACAAGTATGCCTACTTCATATCCATTATATATTAAATTAAGGAAATTTAACATTGATATCCAAATAACCATTTTTATAGTCATTTCCCCCCACTAATCTGAAATCTAAGCCAAGATTAACTCACTGCAGTTTTCAAGTCTCTTTAATCCAAAATAGCTTCTCAGTGCTTTGTTTTTTTATGATAGATTTTTTTCTGAGAACTTGAGTAGAATGTATTAAATCTGGGTTGTCCAATATGACGAGATACAGTTTATGCCGTATGGCCAGAATATTATAGAAGTGAGACTGTATGTCCTTAGTATGTCAGCTCAGAAGGCAAGAGGTTTGTCCCAATTATTCACTATGTCAACTTTTTTGGGCATACAGAGTATTAAATCCAGGGGTGCTATACCACTGAGCTACATCCAGCTACATCCCCACCGTTTTGTTGTTGTTTGGGTTTTTTTTTTTTTTTTTTTTTTGGTACTGGGGATCTTTTTTTATATTTTATTTAGAGACAGGGTCTCACTGAGTTGTTTACAGCCTCTCTAAGTTGTTAAGGCTGACTTGGAATTCGCAATCCTCTTTCCTCAGCCTCCTGAACCACTGGAATTACAGCCCAGCTCTTTTTATTTTTTATTTTGAGACAGGGTCTTACTAAGTTGCCCAGGTTGAACCCAAACTTTTGATCTCTCTTTTCAGCCTTCCAAGTCACTAAGATTATAGGCATGCCCCACTATACCTGGCTCAATGATATTAACTGTTCTTCATGTGGTTGAACCAAAATTTCTCCAGTTTAAAGTTGTTCTTTTCTACCTTTAAATTAATAAACTCTTTTTTCTTGAAAGGGATATTTTTATTAACTTAATTATTTTTTATGTCTTTGTTATTCCAGATAACTTTAGTATTTATTCTCCCATAAACAGATTATCACTATGTGATTGATGGCTAAATTACTTTGCTTGTGTAGCCTTTATTGAACTGACTGGATATTTTCAATCATATGTATGTTTTTACCTATTTCACTGATTTAAAATTTTGAAATCACCCTTTGTTCTTTTGCATAACTCAATTACTTACCATCATTTTTCACTGCCATAATCACTTAATGGTAAATTAATAAACTCTTGATGGGGAGATAGCTGGATACTGTAAAAATATCTATATCTTGTTCCCTTCAATAATTTAGTAATCACTGATTATCCCCCTGCCAGCCTCCCCACCACCCCATGGAGATGCTGGAATTGAATCCAGGGCTTCACACAAGCTAAGCAAGATCTGAGACACATCCCTGGCCCTCAATAATGATTCTTGATGGTAATTTTTGAATTCTACAATTCCTTCTACAATTGTTACCTGACACTCTGGTATAAAGTGCTTTTTCTTCTACTCCTTCCATTTTATTTATTTTTGTTTAGATTAGTAAAATGTACTCTTAGATTCTTTTCTTATTCACTGTTATTACAGTCATCAATCATTTTGACACTCAGATTTGGCCAATGAGAGTTCTTAAAGGCTGGCTTTTGTGCCTTCTTGAAATACACTCATTAATTTGAGGCACTTCCTTACTTTCTGATTCACCAAGACACCAGAGCTCACCTGTGTACAGCTCTGGAGTCAGGTTTTCTCCAAGAAGCCCTAATTTCTTTCAGTAGCAAATGATATTTAGAAATCCAAGATCAGTTATGCTAGTTGCCATGGTATCATCACTTCTAGGTTTATATATTTACATACTTAAACAAAATCATGAATTCATACTTTTATTGCTAATTTCATTTTTTAAAACTCCACAGGTATTCTTCTTCTTTTTAATCTCATCCCATATTTCCTTTCTTTGACCAGGAAAAGTCTGACTCCCAGCAACACTATAATATTTACTCATTTACTTAACTTAGAGTTCTAGAATTACTATGCTTGTACCACTTCCAACACAGTATGTAGCCTAAATACCATACTAAAATAGTTTTTTCCCCTACTGTGAAATCATGTTACTAATTTCATAAAGAGGTTCGTTTTTGTATGTATTCAACTTTAGGGTTTTTCTCTTCTTTATTTTGTTGTGAATTTGTAAAAATACATGGTATTCTGTATTTTTAATAAAAGACCTTAATTCTGTAACAAAGTCTAGTGAAGTTAATACTATTTTCGTGATATCAAATGATATGAGAGGGAAACATTAAGTTACTCTATATGTTAGATACTTCATGTGTGACTATATTAAACTGTCACAAAAATAATAAAGTACATATAAACTCCACTTTCAGATAAGACAAAGAGATTCGGTAATTTAATAAGGTCTCACAGCCGGTAAGGAAAGAGACAGAATGTGAATCCCTGTCTGCCTGATTCCAAAGCCCATCTATTTATTTTTATTAACTCATATTTATTGAGGCCTTCAATTGCAGGGCAATGTGCTATGCATTCTCATTTAACCCTAAAAAGTATTCTTTAATTTTTATTTACTATTTAAAAATGAGGAAATTGAGATTTATACAATCATTAGATGAAATAAGTAAATTATGGCAAGTCCCTATTATGGAATATGTATCGCTTCACAAGAATATGAAGATCCACATCATTAAGTTTTATAAAAAAATTATGTTGCAAAATGCCTTGTTATTAACAAAAACTAGCACAAATACAAATTTATATGTGTGGAAATAGTCAATCTTGATGATTTAGAGTCTATATATGCAAATTCATGTAGTCACTAATATCTGCTTGTAACTCTCAAGTCAAGACTTGTTGCACACTTTTGTGGACATTCGTAGACGTGTATAGAGCAACAAAATATCTGAGTCACCACATACACATCCCTAACTAAGGTGAAGTATGTGATATTCAAGTTTCAAGTCTCATACTAAACTCAAACGTCCTTTCACACTCTATGTGGTGACACATTTTTCAAATATGTATGATTTTGTTGGTGACTTTGTTGTTTAAAATGTCCCCCCCAAGTACAGTGCTGAAGTGATGTCTATTGTTTCTAAGTGTAAGAAGGCCTGGTGAAGAAAATACATGTGTTAGATAAGCTTCATTCAGGTACAAATTGTAGTGCTGCTGACCATGAGTTCAATTTTAACGAATCAACATCAACAATATATATATATATATATATATATATATATATATATATATAATATGAAAACTTTAAACAAAAACACATATAAGTCAAAGTTAGGTATTAGGCAGTTAAAAGACTATTTTGACCAGAAAGGCTCATAGAAACCTAACTCTGAATTTCCCATAGGAGCAATGTTTCACATTCACTAAGTCAATGTTCCCTATGACTTCATAAACATAATTACTTTAAATAATGAGAATCAACTTTATCTACAATAGTATCTTTATACAGATGTGTGTATGGAAAGATCTACCAGACATGGCAGGAGATACAGTGATTATACCTAAAGGTAGGGGACAGAGCCTGAGGAAATTCTTTAGGGAAAATCTTAAACTTTATCTATAGTCAATGTTTTGTTTTCTTTTTTAAACACATTGGAAAGGTAGTAACGCACTTTAGTAATATAACTCTTCTCCTAATCACTATTTTTCTCTCACTTTATTTTCACCATAAAATGGAAACAGGAACAATGGGAACTGGGAAAGCTCTATAAGAGACAGTAATAGTCTATGATTCAGAGAATGAACTCTGAAGGACTAATGATAGGGTTTGAATCCTGGCTTTGCTGCTCACTAGCACTATTTCTAAGCAAGTAACTTCAGCTTGTGTTCAACATTTTGTACACTCAAGGGAATAATATACTTACTTCATAGAGTTACTGTGGGGGAATAAATGAGTTATGATATGCTAAATGGCTGGGATAACACCTGGTCCCATAGTAAATGCTCAATAAATATTAACTAGTTATCACTCTATGGCTGTACTATAACTGAAGACAATGACTGTTCTAAAAGGAAGATGATCAATTAGGAATATATTTTTAACACCCTACACAGACTGGCTGGCCTTTCCTATTTATGGTAAAGAAGAGAATGTGAGAATTTTAATTCTTCCACTGGCATATGAGTATGTCCTTTCACCTATGTTTTCTATTCTAATAGTAAACTTATAATTTATATAAAAGCCCCTGTTCACATGTGGGTTACAGATAGGAGGCTGAAGAAAGTATCTGCTGAAATATAAGATTGATAGACAGCAAAAATATAAAGATTAAAAGTACAAAGCAGGGGCTGGGGTTGTGGCTCAGAGGTACAGTGCTCGCCTAACATGTGTGAGGCACTGGGTTTGATCCTCATTACCACATAAATATAAAATACAGATATTGTGTCCACCTATAACTAAGAAATAAATATATTTTTTTAAAAAGTACAAAGCAAATGTGAATTTTAAAAAAATTTTTTAGTTGTTGATGGGCATTTATTTATTTATGGTGCTGGGAATCAAACCCAGTGCCCTACATATGCTAGGCAAGTGCTCTACCACTAAGGCACAACCTCAGCCCCAAATGTGAAATTCTTAAAGCTTCTAATTCATAAATATCAATAGAGTGCCCCAAAGTTTGTATTTGAGGCATAAAATGTTTTAAGCCTTTGTCTGGATTCTTATATGTATGTCATATTTGGACTGTAAACTTCTAGAGGAATGAAGAGTGAAAATGGCAACTTGTGCTATAAACACCATATTTTTCCTACTTGTCAGATATCTTGCTGAAAAAAGCTCAATTGCTCCAATACTTTCTAGAAGAAACAGCTCTTCAAGTTAGCATAATAATTCTGTTCAATCTCAAATGTGCTTACAGTCACCAAAAGCTTTAAAATAAAGATCCCTGGAGGTTATCTGTCTCTAAAATCAGTCATTTTTCTAAAAATAAGATAACACCAGTTGTTTATAAATTACTTTCCATTTGATTATCTAAAATAGTCTGACAGAAAATGAATCAGAGCAAAACTCACAAACTCTAAATAGGCATGAAACCTTATAAAAAGAACCTTTTATAATTAACATATCAAATTTATCATTATTAAAATTTACAACCTGAATTTGGTATTTTACTATGATTATTTCCATAATTATTTCATTTAATTCTCTGAACAAATCAGGTAAGAACTCTCATTATCTCTATCTTATAGATAAAGAAGTGATGATTAGAAAAATCAAGGTTGGGGCTGGGGATGTGGCTCAAGCGGTAGGGCCCTCGCCTGGCATACACGGGGCGCTAGGTTCGATCCTCAGCACCACATAAAAATAAAATAAAGATGTTGTGTCCACCGAAAACTAAAAAATGAATAATAAAAAATTCTAAAAAAGAAAAAAAAAGAGAAAAAAGAAAAATCAAGGTCACCTTAGAGTGTGCGTGTGTGGGGCAATGGGGTGGGGTAGGATGGAACCCAAGACTTCACAGTCCAGGTAAGGCCTCTATAGCGAGCTCCAGACCCAAAGTCACTTCTAAAATCAGCCAAGGCAGAGCTCATATCTGAACCTTAACTCTAACTGGTAACCACTGTGCTATAATCCAAGTTCCTCACCACTAAACTACTGCCTCCCTTCAGACAAGATAGGAAACAAAGTCTCACAGGAATTTTCCCTTTTTGTATTTTTCTCTGTTGTGTTTGTATTTTCTCTGTGTATCTGAGGTTTGTTGAACATCCAAGTAAAACAAATTGTTCCTGACAAAATATATTAGCTGGCAGGGAAAAGGGAAGAGAGGGTAGAAAGGAGTAGAGCTGAAGGTAGAATATTTGCTGACACTATCAAACATAATTCAAATAACTGTCAAGAAATTCTTGTTCCAAAAGCTAAAAATTAGCCAGAGACAATTTAGTACGGCTCACCAATAAATAAAAATAATGGCCCTGGGCTGTGGTATGCATATATAATAAGGCATACATTCATTCAAATTGGGTATCTATGTGCCAAGTTTCCAAATCATGTATCACTAGATTTCTATTTCAAATAATGAAATTCAGAAAGGCCAGAGATTCTCCATCCTCACAGGGTTGTGATTTCTAATAGTCTGAAGACCTTTTCAAAAAACTTTTGAGGGGCTGGGATTGTGGCTCAATGGTAGAATGCTCGCCTAGCACATGCCAGGCCCTGGGTTCGATCCTCAGCACCACATAAAAATAAATAGTTGTTGTGTCCAACTACAACTAAAAAATAATTTTAAAAAAAGCTTTTGAATGTATGAGATAGCGTTAAGCTATTATCTAAATTCTAGGAGATCCTACTGAAGTTACATTTCACAGCAATCTGCTAGTTTAGTATTGTGGAATCCTACATATTCTGGAGTTAGAACTTAGGACTGGAGTTGCCTTGATCAGTAAAGAAGCCCCAATTACTTGTTATGGAAAAGAACAAGACCCCAAGGAATATTCTTTTCCATTCCAGTGTAAAGCACCAGAATTACATTTGTATTAAAAACTGTGAGGAATAATTAACCTTTGAGAGAGAAAAGGCAAACAATGAAGAAATCAAAAACTGATATCCTCAAGTGTTATTTTATTCCACATATAAAAAGTAGTATTTATGTTATATGTACAAGAAAATTCCAACACTACTGCCCAACTCTAAGGCAAATAACAACAATATTAGTATCAATAGAATTAATACAATTCACTGTATAACCATTTTATAATGACAAGTAGAGAGGTGGATATTCTCATTTCAAACAACTACTATGTGATGGTGAAAAACTGAAGAGACCAATAATGAGTTAGCCTAACAAAAATAATTCTTAAAAATTTACCAGATTAAAGCTCTTGGTTCTGGAATTTCTACAAATTCCTCAATTTACTACAGTCTATTTGAGAAAACTTAAGTTTTAACTGGAACTTTTCTTGGAACAATTAAAATAGCAACAAACAAAAATTATAATTTTAAAGGAAGAGGTTATTCACTTTCTCTATTCTCATAACATTTATTTCATTGCCTTACCCAATTACCATTCTTTTGACACCATACAATTCCACAAACAACAAACTAAAAGGAAAAACCATTCAACCAATAAGTGCTATCTCATAGCAAGTACAACATAGAGTGGACATTCCAAGCAGTATTAAACTAATTTATTTTGACCATGCTTTTACTGCCATCTATTGTATCACCAGTCAGTAGTGGCATAACAGGAATTACAGACTGATCTACAAACTGGCAAGGATACTTGGAAAGTAACCTTAAAAGCAAAAGCAGGTTATAAGAAATTTTACACCCTATCTTGAAACTTGTTCCACTTATTTGGATGAATATCTCTAGAACTGTTTCATTTTAAAGAAACCAAAGTCCAACCTTAAATGTTAGGGCACCTGACTAGACTTACTTACTTGATGTACTTACCTAGAGCTGTAAAATCAGAACCAGATTTGAATAGAGCTGAAGCTAGGAGCTGAAACTGCAAAGTAAAACAGAAGAAAATCAGATGGCTAGCACATTTAAGAATAATACTTTCTATAACTTTGACTATTTATTAGTATCTGTGTATTTTTGCACATGTGTTGCCCAAGTCTATTCAACAAATATTGGCAAGCACATCACATTTAAACAATATGCTGACTTTTCTACTGGACTGATATTATTGTTTTCCTAAACATGAGACCAAGTACTGAAATTATTTTTCTTAAAAAAATTATTAAAGTATATATTTACTAAGGAACAGCAGGTCTACTGCCATAAAATAAAATAACTCATAAATAAAATAACTCACTTGGGACTTTGTCACAGATGAATAGACCCTAGATGTAGTCACTGAATTTTTAGTGTAATGCACTCTTATCTCCAAACAAAACAAAACAAAACAACAACAACAACAACAAAACCATATCCCTATAAAACACCTGATATCTCTGCTGTGTAAATCAAACTGTGAGAAACATGCAGGTCCCCAAAAAAGTAGACTAGGATCCCATAATCATGTATAATTATATTATTAAAACTCAAAGCCCCTTTTCTTTCTTTTTTTTTTAAAGTGGGTTTCAATTGTATTCTTTTTTATTTTTTAGTTGTAGATGGGCACAATATCTTTATTTTATTTATTTATTTTTTATGTGGTGCTGAGGATCGAACTCTGTGCTTCACATGTGTTAGGCAAGCCCTGTACCACTGAGCCACCACCCCAGCCCTCAAAGCCCCTTTTCAAATGGAAATAATATTGTAAACATTATCTGCAGGCTAGCCAGCTAAAGTTACTTTAAGATAGAAAATGCAACCAAATAATGACAAAATAGGGTAAGACAAACCATTGCAACACTGACAATTTAACAAATTAATAAAAATTTTTACAAAACTATATTTATCCTGAAGGAGGATGCTGGAAAAAAGGAAAGTTAAAGGAAAGACTAAGAGTAGACAAATGGGTAGAGTATCAACGGAATTACTTAGCACTTCTCAATGCTCAAGCAATTGATAGCACAATTTCCTCAGGATCTACGTTTGCAACCTTTAAATTTTCAGGTATTAATTGCATTAATATTTATAAGCCCTAACAGTTTTTTGAAGGTCATAAATGGTACAAATATTCCAGATGTATCTATCTAAGTACAAGTTAAAAAAAAGGGGGGGGGATAAAAGAAAGAGTTAAAAATATATGGAAGTTTTATATATATTCAGTCAGATATCTCTACTGCAAAATACTGGTTAGTTTGTGGTTTGTCTATTTTCTTTTCTTAATGTCTTTTTAATTTTTGGTGGTACTGGGGATTAAACTCAAGGCCTTGTGCGTACAAGGCAAGCACTCTACAAACTGAGCTATATCCCCAGCCCTCTTAATGTCTTTTAATGAGTAAAAATCTAAATTCTGTTGAAGACCAATAACAAGTTTTTCTCATTCATATTTAGTGTCTTTTGTGTTGTCTATAAAATCTTGCCTATTTTAAGGTTGTAAAAATAAATCTGTTTTCTTTCCTTGAAACTTATTATTATTTTATATTTAGATCAGTAATCTACCTTAATTTTTTATGTAAAGAGTAACACAGGTTACGATTACCAGTTAATCAAATCATTTGTCCAAAAAACTAAACAAATAAATAAACTTTCCTTGAATTTGGCACCATGGTCGAAAACCAGTTGATTATATATGTATATATGCAGGTCTATTTCTGGACTCTATCCTATTCTATTGATCCATTTGTTTGTCCTTAGACCAGTACCATGCTGCCTTCATTACTGTGGCTTTATACAAAAGACCTGATATCAGGTAGTCTAGCGACATCCTTTGCATGTCTACATAAATTTTAGAATAAGCTTGTTTATGTCCTCAACAACAACAAAAACAAAACTTCGCAGATTATCAAAAGAGACAGCATTAAGCTAAAGACCATTTTGGGGACAATGTGCAACTTTGAAAAAATTTTAGTCTTTCAATCCATAAATCTCTCCAATATTATAAATTCTTATAATACTTAGGACTACATATTTGACATTTCTTTATGCTAATATGATCAGTATGACTTAAGTTTCCATTTGCTAATTGCTTATTGCTATTATAAAAATATGGTTGTTCTTTTCTATTGACTTTGTATTATGTAAATTTCCTAAATTCATTTATATTGGTTTGTATATTGTATGGGATTTTCTATAATACAATCAAGTTATCTACAAATGCAAAAAAAAAAATTAGTTTTTCCTTTCCAATCTTCATGCTATTTCTTTCTTTTTCTTAACTTATTGCACTAGCTAAAACTGGTATATGTTGAACAGAGGTAAGGAGAGCATATGTCTTTTCTTTGTCATAATCTCTGGGGAAAGAGGTTAATATTCTACAATTAGGTATGGTCCTATTACATGTTTTTCATAGATGTATTTTATGAGATTTTTGGAAGTTTCTTTTTATTCCTAGTTTGCTAAGAATTTTTATCATAATGAGTTTGAATTTTGTTAGATGTTTTTCTCCATTTATGGAGATAATCTATGGTTCTTCTCTTTCATTGTGTTAGTGTGGTTAGTTAACAGTGATTTTCAAATGTTAAACTAATCATGTAGTTCTAGGATAAAACTACTACTACTACTACTTTTTTTTTTTACTGGAGATTGAATCTAGGAGTGCTTTATCAGTTACATCCCCGGCTCTTTGGATTTTTTAATTTTAAGACAGAATCTCATTAAGTTGTTTAGGGCCTCACTAAGTTGCTGAGGCTGGCCATGAACCTGTAATCTCCTGCCTCAGACTCCTGAGTCATGTGCCTCTGGGCCTGGCCCCTGGGATAAACTTCTATTTGGTAATAGAATATTAACTACTTAATATATTGCTGAATTTAATCAGATAAAATTTTCTTAAGAATTTTACTTCTACATTAATGAAGGATACTGTTTTTGGGTGTTTTTTTTTTTGCTTGTAATGTCTTTACCAAAATTTTATATAATTTTAAACTACCTTCATAAAAGGATTTAGGACTCACATATGTCCTTCAGATTTCTGAGGTCCATGCAAAACTAGTTATTTTTTTTCCCCTTCCTTAAATGGTTGACAGAATTTATTGATAGAGCCAAGGCTCTTTCTTTCTTGGAACATTTTATTAAAGTTTTTTTTTATATATATATATTTTTAGTTGTCAATGGAACCTTATTTATTTATATGTGGTGCTGAGAATTGAACCCAGGACCTCACACATGCCAGGCAAGTGCTCTACCACTAAGCCACAACCCCAGCCCCATTGGAATATTTTTAATTACAAAGTCAATCTCTGTAATGGATATGGGTTCCTTAAGATTTTGTTTCTTCTTATGTCAGTTTTGGTGAATCATATCATTAAAGTATTGTCCATTTCATCAAGATCTTAAATTTATTACTCTTTAATGAAACATAGTGATTTCTACCTTTTATCTGTAATGTTGATATAATTTTCACTTTTTTCTTCATAAGTCTTGCTTGGAGTTTATCAATTTTATTTACCTTTACAAAAAACCAACTTTTCACTTTTGAATTTTTCTCTTTTGCTTGTTTCTTATTTCACTAATTTCCCGTTTTCTTATTTGGGGTTTAACTTGCTCATCTTTTCTAACTCCTAAGGTAAAAGATAAACTTAACTGGTTCTACATAGAGGAGGAGGAGTCGAAAACTTATTTTAACAATCTGATTAAATAAGTGAAACTGATATGTATTGGCCTATGATTTTAACATATACCAAGTGACATTACAGACCCCTTTCCCAAACTCTGAACTCAAATATCCAACTACCACCTTAGCTGGTTGTTTCATGAACAAACCCAAAATCAACTTTCTGATTTCCAGTAAGAAGTCCCCACCTACCACCACAAACAACTCCCCTCAGAACCTTCTCATTTCAACTGAAAGTTAATTTCATCCTTCCAGTTTTTTAGGTAAAAAACTTTGGAGTTATTTATTTGAATGTTACATTCAATTCACCATAAAAACTTGTTGGTTCTACATTTAAATATACTGAAAATTTGGTCAATTTTGCTTATCTCTCTATTGCTACTATTCTCTCTATTTCTACTATTTTGATCTGAACTTGAACAATTTCTTGCTTAGATTTCTAAAATCTTCTTTGTGAGTCTTTCTGTCAACATACTTTTTCCCCTTTAGTCTGTTGTCAATATAGTAGTCACAGTGATCTAATTAAAACAGAATGTAGATCACATCATTCTTCTACACAATAAGCCCGAACTGACTTCTTCAATCACGCTAAAAGCCAAAGTCCTAAAAAGGCTTCGGAAGGCATTCACCATCTGTTTTCCCAGTCCTTGCTTCTTACTCTGTGACCTCATCTCTGACTGCTCTCACTTTTCTTCTCTACTCTAGTCACCATGGATTGCATGCCACTCTTCTAAATCATGCCAGAATGTTACCACCCTAGGATCTTTGTTCTAACTCCCACTTTGCTAGATACTGTCTTTACCAAATTATCTGCCTAGCTCATTTCCTCAATCCTTCAAGTCTTTGCACAAGTCTTATTTCTAATTGAGGTCTATTATGATCATCTTATTAGAATTGCCCAATTCTTACCTCTGATCCCTTTATCCTTCCTGCAGCTTATTTTATTTTCCTGTAATGCTTATCAAATTCTATCATGCTATATACCTTACTAATTTAATATGCTTACTGTTTATTGTCTCTCCCAAAGGAACATAAGAGCCTTCTGGGCAGGGATCTTGTTTTGTTTGCTATGTATCTCCTAAGCCTAGAATGCCTGGCACATTGTAGGAAATCAAACTATTAAATGAATGATACAAGTACTGTGGAAACAGCGCAGGCACTATATAATTAATTCAGAACATGCTATACTGGCTGAAAACTACTTTTTTTCATTCCTTCTCTATAAGTACCCTCTGAAAATGGTAGACTTGAATTTGGTACACATTTTTCAAGCCTTTTCTAGAAAAAAAAATACTTTAAAAAATCAGTTTATAAAATTATTGAATTTTATCACCAATTCTGAAAACATGTTGTGGAGACTAGAGGAAACAAAGAACCATGTTCTGGTATATAGCTGGTAGTTTACTGTCCTCATCCTAATAATTGGCACAATGATGATAATCATATTGACAACCATGTGTACAAAATCCAAAAAACCTTTTGGTTTCTGAAAGTCATTTAAATAATGAAAAATTTGTAAAACATACAAATAGAACAAAAGCAAGCTACTACAGAAAATGAGAAATAGGCCTTTCGCAACGAGGGGAATGATCTCCTATAATGAAAAGTGAAAGTTTAGGTGTCTTACTGAAAAGTACTGCAAATATAATAAATACTCTGTCACTGGGGATTTCCTTCCCCAAAATGGATTACTGGAATATAAGAAGTGTTGAAAGTTATATCTGTTCAAGCATTCTTAAACAAAATAATCGCCTTTCAGACCAATAATCCCCAATATCAAATGTGTTTTCTGTTTTTTGTTAGATATGCAGCTAGAGGAGAATTTGGGTAGGAGTACTGGTTTTGTAAAATTTTCTGAGATAACTGATACTAACACACAGAATGCCATTTTATTTTATTTATTTTTTAGTTGTAGATGGACACAACACCTTTATTTTTATTTATTTATTTATATGTGGTGTAGAGGATGGAACCCAGAAATTTGCATGTGTTAGGCGAGCACTCTACTGCTGAGTCACAACCCCAGCACCCAGAATGTCATTTTATTAACTTATAACAGGACCAAACAACTCTGGCTTAAGTTTTTTAGGAAATAAAATGGAAATATATAGCATATAAAAGAGAAGTTGTTACTATTTGAAAAAGAAAAAAAAATAGAAATTAGCTACCAAAATTAATAAATGGGTCTATGTGAACTTGAAATTCCTCCCTGTCCTGATTTTTGCCTATTAACTTAGCTAAGAACAAACTGTTTTCTTTGGCCTACTTACAGCTCACACAGCTGAAATTATTTACTTTGAAATACTTTGTTTTGGTTTTAAAAATAAGAGGAAAATGACTGCCCAGTTATAGCCATTTTATATAGAATATGGACAGATCACAAGAATATCTATTTACAACTCTTAAATGCATGATCCAACAAAATTAACATTAATGTTCTCTCTGCAACTATGTAGAGTTGTAAGTAAAAATGGATTATACCAAATGTATTTTGCTTCTGAGCAAAACTAAATAATTTCCCCTCTTTCAAATAGTTATCATGAATTGAGTAAGTCTCAAGAAAAGACAATTAAAATTAACTGTCCCCACAGAGGGTTCTAAAGTATGTTCTGCTGATTCTCTACCTATCCTGGGGTAATAACCAATACTGAGTAAGAGCAACAGGACTTATTTTCACAGCAGGATACTATGAAAGAATCTGTCTTCATTTTGGTGCTGAGGACATGGCTGGCTCTACTGATTTAAAAGTACAATGAACCTGGTGCCTGAAAGGGATTTGACGTTAAATCTGAAACCACTTATATTGATGCTGAGGAGAGACAAACACTGCTTGATATTGTTTTTACAAAGTCAAAGCAAAGCAACAGCTAAAAGGGAAATGGATGTAAAGAAGAGAACTACATATCATTAGTACCAATTCTATGAGCAGAAAAACAAAATGGAATATAGTTCAGATGCTGCAAGATGGCTGGCAGAGAAAAAAAAATGACAAAGGAATCTCAGCAGTTAGTGGGAAGAAAGACTGTAAAATATAAAACCATGCAAGTTATTGCAGGCACATTCACACAGTGGATGGGCAAATATGCCCTTAAGAATGTGAAATCTTTTGAAACAGTTGCTTTATCCCATGTAACAAAAACTTCAATAATCATGGTCAGCTATTGTTTCTCAGGCTTAGGAACTACTGTTGAATGTAGTAACCTACAGTCAAGCTATACTGCTACAACATTCATATAATAAGCAAGGACGCTACTCCCATAAACCTAAGTTTTCTTTACTCTTGAGCGATCTTAAATATCAGTAGAAAAGTTGGTACTGAACTATTACATAATCCTTAAGCGAAAGAATCATGGGATTATGGAAAAAGTAAAACTTTGTTTTCTTCCTGAAAAACAAAACTAATGTCTAAGTTAAAACTTTATATGTGAGAATTCGAATGGGTTTCCTGAGTCACCTGAATTTTATCAAATGAAAATATGCCTGTTCAATTTTTAATTTACCTGCTCTGTTATCATTTTTAAACTTAGTGTCAAATTTTCATTTTCAACACTCAAGTTAGAAAGACATTTTAAAACATACTCAATTCTTGTAGGTCATTACCACCTTTCCTTACCTCTTTTGTCTCTTCTGGATCTGAATGATCCACAGTTATATAAAGATCATTTTGTAAATATTTTAGAGCACTAAGGGGATCCATTTGAGCCTTTTCTTCAAACCTAGAAAATATAAATCAGAATAATAATTATTTTGAGTCATAATATAACACAAGAAATGTCTTTTAAGACCCAGAATGAAATACATTGTGTACAAGATGAGTTATTCTTAGTATCTAAAAAACTTGAGTCTGGGATTCCTGGGTAAGAATACTAACATGCAAATAGTGTAGATGTAGAGCACATAGAGACACAATGGCAATGCCAGGTGGCCACAAGCAGTTGAGATGCTAGAGAATTCATCCTACCTAGAGAGTACATCCTACCCTTGCCTTAAAACTATAATTGAGAATTAAGTTCACTACAAAACAGTCTCTATGTCATTTATTTTGGATAACAGAACTCCAAAAGAGCTCAATGCTTTCATCAAAAACAAGTGCTTATAAAATCTACTTGCTTAGATTTGTACAATATATTTTCCCATGGAGATATTTAATAAATACATTGGAAACTGAAATGAATATGGTCTCTTTTAATGAGTAGCATTAACATTCAATATATTTTTTAAAATTCAATATTTTTAATGAGAATGTTTCCATGTTTCAGTCATTGAGTAACAGAAAGTAACAGAAAGTAACAGAACAACTGCACCAACCACTTAGCAAGCATTTTAAATTTGTTAGAAAATATGCCTATTCAATTTTTATTACCTGCTCTGTTATCATTTTTAAGCTATATCAAAATAACTCTATGATGGTGAAACATTTTTCAACAGATATTTTTGTTGCTTTTTTCTGGTACTGGGGACTGAAGCTGAGGCACTTGACCACTGAGCCACATCCCCAGCCCTATTTTTATTTTATTCAGAGACAGGGTCTCACTGAGTTGCTTTAGTGCCTAGTTGTTGCTGAGGCTGGCTTTGAACTTGTGATCCTCCTGTCTCAGCTTCTTAAACTGCTGGGAATTCAGGCATGTGCCACCACATCCAGCTCAACAGTTTAAACAAATAAATAAGAACCTGAGGCCTCTAAAATGAATCTGGCAAAGATAAGAGCTAGTAAGGAGCAGAAAAACAGAATAAAATACAGGTGGATTCCAAAACTGAAAAGGAAAAGAGTTCTCTTGCTCTGTTTT